CCATACCTAAAACAAGTGTTTGAAGGATTTCTACTAGTAGTAGCCTTTGAGGTATTTGCATTATCCTTGTTCGCTACTTGAGGGCTATGGAGGCTAGTGTTTTGTGGCGTTCCTATGACAATTTTACCCTTTGAAACCTTTGATGGTTTCCCTCGCTCTAATTGATAAGAAAGTCTTTTCAACTTTTGTTCAGCCTTTGAGGCTAGTTGGTAGGCTTCATTCATATCCCATATCCCATAGGTGTAGTAGTTCAAGCTCTTCTTGTAGCATAGGTTTTATAAACCACTAACATGTCTAGCTATTAATTATTCTTCACTCTCTGGAACCTAATCCCAGCTTAAAAGTTGGTAGAATTCTTCAGTGTAATCTTGCACACTTTCGTCTACCTTTTGTTTTAAATGTGAAACCTTTTATACACAGATTGATAGTAATCAGAAGGAAGAAAACGAGCAGTTAGTTCTCCGTCATTTTTTACCATGTTTGTATTTTTTCTTTTCCACACCGAACTCCGTCATTTGGTAAAGCTTTCCACCAAATTAGAGCATGGCCCTTAAGTTTAGTGGCGACAAACTTTACCTTTAGATCCCTCCATTCAAAGAAAGTTTCAACACTTGTTATTCAATCAACAAAATAGTCGGGATCGAGTTACCCGAGAAACCTTCAATATCAACTCGAATATTTCTAACGTCTCCTTCCATAGCTTTGGCCAACCTCTCTATGGCTGATTCGTGCCGTCCATCAACTGTTTGCGTAAATGGGTTTTCATCGGCAACACTAGAATTTTCTTTATGGTTACTAGAAGTGTTGGAACTCCTCCCACTTCTTTGTACTTCATGAACTAAGTCCTCCGCTAATGTGTTTAGCTCAGCAAACTCAGCCATGGTAGGGGTAATGAAATCACTCTTTTATTCCAATACAAAATAATATACAATTGTTTTTTTAATAAGGAGGAAAGGAATTAAGAGAGAATCACTTAATCTCATGTGGGAATCACTCATCACTTGGAGAGGAATCACTCGCTATCAACAGAAGCTCAAAGGAAACTCTCAATTCTATGTTGGCAGAAATGGTTCCATTTGAAGGTATTTATAGACTAAGGAAGATATTTCTAGAGATTTATCAAAAACCTTATAGATAAGGTTACTAAATACTTTATTAAACAATAGTTTATTGTTAGATATTTCTAGAGAAGTTTCTAGAGAAGGTTCCTAGATACTTCATTAAACAATAATTTATTAATAGATATTTCTAGAGAAGTTTCTATGAAACTTCTTAAAATAATGACATAATTTCGTTCTAGGCTTCTGTGGAACCCTCAATAGCCTTTCTAGATTTAGGGCTTGGGTCTATGGAGAAATGAAACCTAAAAATAGGGTTTACGAAAATATTTTCTCTCTTTTTTTTTGGTGTACATTTGTGGATATTGGCCCCTACCCTTTTGGTGAGAATGGAGTCAAATAATTACATTCATTGGGCTCAATGGTTCTGGCTTTGGGTTCAATGGTGAAAGGCAACTCGTTTGTGAGTCTTGCCAAAATTAAGGTGCCCTACCAAAATCAATATAAAAGCAACAGGTGCAGTTGGCATACGAATGCATCCGTAGCTGTAGAGGTAAGGTGCACCTTCAAATTTTATCATGCTATATAATTTTGATGTAAAATGCTTAGGATTATCTTTAAATCTATTTTTATATCTATTTATAAAATTTTGAATTTCAAAAATGGTTAAAATCAGGTAGATCTATAAACATATGAAAATCTTGAAAATGGACGGTGTAGAAAATATGGTGTAAAATATACTATTTCTAAGACTTAAATTTTTTTTATTTTTCATGGTCATACATCTCGACGTCGAGATGATCAATCAAAGGGCTTTTCAACATTAAAACTACATTTTCCGATGGATTTTTTAGGTGCATCCGTAGTTCTACAATATAAGATTGCATCCTTATATAAACTTTTTCCAAAAGCAACACTAATTTTCTTCTTCCTTTTTTGTTAATGTCAAGCTGTTGCCATCCCATACTTTTAGGGGCACATGCATGGTGGTCCCACAACGCCATATTATATACTTACGTTTTGGCCTTGAAGCCAAAGCACCATCTTCGGGCTTTGTTTGACTTTGTAGTTTTCGAATCGTATGTGATTGATGTCTTGATCAATAAAAAAAAATTTAAAAATTGGAAAAGAAGGAAATCTAATCCTCAAAACCATAGATTTAAACATCCATCACAATGCAAAATCAATCTTGGCAGGGGATGGTAATTGGAGCATTTTTAGCTCGATTTATTTTGCCACTAATCTTAGAGATCAAAAAAGATAATTTTGAGAGATAATTTTGAGAGATTAGAGGTCAAAATATCCCTTCAACATTAGCCAGTAGCCCAAATAAACAATTTGGTACCACGGGACCACCAAATATTTTACTTTTTTTAAGAAGCAAATAAATAGTATTAATTGTTACGTTTCAGAGCTTACTCTCAATATTACAGATTTAAACATAAGCCATTGAACTGCAAGAACCATGGAAAGCCGTAAACAAGAAAAGATCGATAGAGATTACCTCAATGAGACTTTCTACATCTTAAATAATACGCATAAATTGACCAATATTGGTAGGATTGCACAATGTTTTCTGTTTGATCATTTTTAAATAGTTAATTGTTGTAAACTTTTTTGTAAACTTATCAAGCCATGTGGAAATCAACACTATTTATCAAACATACTACAAGTTTAAGACTGCTTTATAATAAATTGTAATTTACAATTACTTAGTTTGTGATAAATTTACAATTAATTGATAATTTATGAAACAAACAATTTTCCCCATGTCACTTAACTAATTTTTGCAATTTACGACGACCAACTATTGAATAAAACAGTTACATTCTCGGATTTTCTAGCTAAAATAACAAAGTAGAGAAAGTGGTTACAATATTTTTTTAAAAATATTTCTAGAAGCCAAAAGATATTCTGCTCCCTCGGGAATAGAATGCACATTTGTTCACCTCAAGATTAGAATGCGTATTTACTCCTTTAGGTAAAATCTCACCGAGGATAAATTGTAGGAACACGAAGACGGGGGATGTGACCTTTTCAACTCATAGGTTAATTTCAATAAAAAACATTTTCTAACTCTAACATCTGTGCACTTGAAAAATAAATAACGTCTCAAAATTGGATAGATACCATTCAATTTTTAGATAGTGGAGATCAAGTTCTACAAAAATCAAACTTTAAATTTTTTTTAGAATAATTACCTAGTAATTTTAAATATTTACTGAAATAAAAATTTTATCTAGAGCTGAGGCTCTAAACAAACAAATTGGAGTCCACCTAAAACATTTCACTAGAAGAAGTTTATGATACCCAAACATCCTCAAATTGATCATCTCAACATCAAGATGCATGGACATAAAACCAAATAGATTTCAAGTTTCGGAAATGGTGCATCTTGTAACACATTTTTGGACCGTCAATTTTCAAGATTTTCAAGTTTTGATAGATTTGCTCTATTTACATTAATTTTGAGGGAAAATTATAAAAACCCCCCAATATACACTATCTATGCAACTTACCCCATCCAATCTTTTTCTCTCACTTTTTTTTCCACAACAACCTTTATCACAAAAACCCCCCAACTCAAAAGGAACAAGAAAAAAAGACTAAACTACCATTTTTTTCACACGCCCTTTTCTCTCCTGTTTCCCATTTTTTAATTTACCCAATGCGCTGCGGCAGTACAAAGACGCGCTCCGGCAGTCCCAAAGAACGCTCCGACAATATATGCTTTGGAGCCACAACGCTCTGGCAGTGTAATAGGGCGCTCTGGCAGTATATGAACGTGCTCCGACGCTCTCTCCTGTTTCCCATTTTTTAATTTACCCAATGCGCTTCGGCAGTACAAAGACGCGCTCTGGTAGTACAGGTTCTGACGATGCGCTCCGGTAGTCCCAAAGAATGCTCCAGCAATATATGCTTTGGAGCCACATCGCTCTAGTAGTGTAATAGCGCGCTCCGGCAATGTGTTCAGCGCTTCGACAGTATATGAACGCGCTCTGACGGGGTACATCTTCTGGAGATATTTTGCTCTAGCAGAGTGTTTAGCGCTCTGACAATATATGAACGCGTTTCGATGGGGTACACCTTCTGGAGACATTTTGCTCTGGCAGTCGATAAAAGCACTTCGACAAAAGAGGCTCTAGAGCCACAACGCTCCTGCAGTATAATAGTGCTCTCCGGCAGTGTATTCAACGCTCTGGTAGTATATGAACGCGCTCTGGCAGTGCGTACGACAATCCTCACAAAGCGCTCTGGTGCTCGATACATACGCACTCCGGCAGTATGTTCTAGACAATTCGCGTCGGCAGTTGTATACTGTGCTCCAATAATACGCTACTTGGGACTGATAGTTAAACGCCAATTGATTTTTTTTGTACGAAAAGGGTATTTTTTTTAAAAAAATAACAACTTTTTACCTTGGGGTTTTTTTTGTGAAGAAAGAAAGGTTATTGTAGAGAAAAAAATGAGAGAAAAAGTTTAGATGGGGATAAATTACATAGATAGTGTACATTGAGGTTTTTTATAATTTTTATTAATTTTAAAGCTTTAGATTTTATTATAAAAAATAAAAATATATTTTAAAACTATCACAATAATTTTCAAGATAAAAACCACATTTCTCAATACTATTTCTCGATACTATTTGAAAAGTGCACTTTACTTTGATTATTTAGAACCGGGCTCTATACAACCATTGCAAATAAAATCTTTACGGAAGGAGTATGGTCTAGACGACAGGTGCCTTTTCAAAAATGACAATTTGCCAGGAGTCCATGTTGGTTGTCGGAGAAGAGGCGCGGTAAGGGCGTGGACGAGACACGTGTCACTTGACGAATTCGTAGTAAGGCAGTTATGGCGATGAGCTGGCACACGCGGAAGCAAGGTTTGATTTTCGTTCGAATCCAAGTCCAAGTTAAAGTCCAAGTCCAAACCCCTTTCCTTCTACCACACTCCCAACTTGTAATTGTATTCCAGAAACCTCTTCCACTCTCCCTCGATATATATATATATACACGCTTCTCTCTCTGCCTACTTAATTTACAACGCTATCTCCCTTTATATATTCCTTTCTCTCTCTGCCTTGGCTTCGGGTTCTGAACTTTGTTATTCTCGCCTTTCTCTCTCTTTTTCTTTTGCTTTTATTCGTTCTTCGCTTCTCTCTCTAAAATTCCTGCCTTCTCCACCCGGCGTTCCCGTCGGTTTTCTTTTATTTGTGATTCAGCTCTCTCCTGTCGAAATCTGTGTTGGTTTTGGATTTCTTCTTATGGCGTTGGAAGGTGCACTTTTGACCGTGTCGGTTATGGCCATGGGCGCCTTATTCTTTAACAGGAATCACCATCAAGATCAAAACTGCCATCGAAAGCCATACCAAGTATGCCTCTCTCTCGTTTCTTTGTTTTTGTGTGTTGTTTGATAATCTTTGTTGAGTATGTTTGAATTGGATTATTAAGTTTCTTTTTTTTTTGTAGGGTTTGATGGTTCAGGATGAGATTGAAGAAAGGGGCAAGGAAGAGAAGAAAGAGAGGATTAGGGATTTGGGAAGGCCAAGATTCGCACCTGAATTTGATGGCTTGTGTTGCTTCGAGACGATTGTTTCACATTAGCGACACCCACCTCCCTCCTCCCTCCTAGAAGGTGGCCCAACTGTTTAGGAATTTTTTCATACACTTGTACATCCATTTATGGAAGACAGAGAAAATTAGTTTAATTTGATTCTCTCTCTCTTTTTTTATAAATTCTTTGGTTAATTCATTGTGGAAGCGGTTGAGGGGATGTAATTTCGGATAATTATTCTCTCTATAAATTATTTGGTTGATTCATTGTAGAAGCAGTTGAGGGAGATGTAATTTCGGATAATTATTAGAGGTTTATGGCATATGGAAAAATTAGCAGGTTTAAGGTGCCAGGGTAAATGGGTTGAAACCGATGCCAGGAAAATCAATGGAGGTCTTTTTTATACAGAAATTTTAAAATGTTTCAAAATTTTTTACCGAGGTCCTTTCTTTGGTCAGTTTTTCCTTTTTAAAAGGAAAAGGTTTATAAGAAGGCACCTTGAAATATAGAATTAAGGTTCATCTTTAAAAATAGAATTAAGGTTCATCTTTAAAAAAAATTTGAACAATGTCGTTTTGGTCAATAAAGTAAATGCAGCCACCGTACTTCACGACCAATGGTCAATATTAATTATGACTTTATGTTGAAAGTTATTGGTCATCTATCGTGACATAGAATATCGTGATATAGAATATTCAAATACATTAGTTGACAGTTTATTTTTTAAATTTTATTTGTAGATCTTATTTTTAGAATTAAAATTGTTATAAGTAAAAATAAAAATATATTTTCATTCTTATCTTAAGAATTCAAACATCGGTAAAATTTAGGGGTGCACTTTAATTTGGTTGGTTGTTAAAGTTGCAAGTGTATGCAAATCACAGCAGATTCAAAAATATCTCGGTTGCAAATCACACCAGATTCAAAAATATCTCGGTTGGAACCAGGGCTAAATCTGGTTCAATCATCAAAGGAAAAAGTTCATATAAGGTTGCAACTTTAAAAGGTAGGAACACCCATGTACCTCAAAAATTTATCGGAAAATATTGTTTTAATGATGAAAAATACTTTAATTGATTATCTCGACAATCGAAATATATGACTATGAAAAATAAAAAAGAATTTTGAATCTTAAAAATACTGTATTTTATAATATTTTATCTAGATTATTTATTTATTTATTTTTATTTTTTTACGTCATCCCTCCATTTATCTCTCACGTTTTCTTTCTTCATTTTTTTTTTCTTTTTTCTCTTCATGTCAGCCCTCTATTTTCTCTCTCCTCATGTTTTAAAAGATTTGGATTCCACATAAACAGTGATTTGGGTTCCAATATGATAACTTCGCACCCTCTAAAAACCACCATCTAGATTTTTTTCCCACGATTTTAGCTAATAATGAAACTCTCTAAAAACAAACGTTGATAACTTCGCACCTTCTAAAAACCACCATCTAGATTCTTTTCCCACGATTTTAGCTAATAATGAAACTCTCTAAAAACAAACGTTGCCTACATTTTTAAAAGATAAAGACAAACATTTTCCTACATTGTTAACCGATAAACACACTATTTAACGCCCCTATAAAAAAAATTTAACCAATAAAAATAAAAAAAAATAGGAATTTTTCTAAATTATTTTGTATGAGGTACCCATCTATAGGTTAATTCACCCAACATTTTTTTATTAATCAAAATACTTTTCCTTCATTATAAAGCCCTACATGCAGCTTTCGATGATGATGATGACGATGAACACCATCGATATTTTAATTCATCAAATACTTTGTCTTTCACCAAAATATATCTCTTTCATTATGAAGTCCTACATAAAGCTTTCGATGATGATGATGATGACGACGATGATGACAACGATGAACAAACATGAATTTTTTTGTATCTAATAACTGGGCAGTAAAAGCAGACCCTCATTTATAAAGGCCAACAAGAGACCCAAAATGGAGAAGGTGAGTTAATTGAAGGATCCAAACAGGAAAACTGTCACGGCATTATATCTCTTTACTATACAGAGAGAGCACAAAGAAATCTAAAGGACTCAAATCACTAGCATTTTTCGACCTTATGGTTTTTTCATGTTCCATGGTTTCTCTCTTTGTCTCAGATAAGATTTCAAATCCAGGCTCAATTCGGAGTCTAGACTCGCCTGAGATCATGAAAATAAAAATTAATTTGAAAAATGACTTAATCAATCATAATTAATAGAAATAGTATGAAAAAATTAGGCAACATATTTATACGCAATATCTGAAATATAACATGTTAAGAGTACACACTGCCTCTTAAATACAATCTCTTACCCGAGAGAAAACGTTTTTTAACAATTATCTCTGACATACAATCGATTATTGAAAAAATTTAATAAAATGTATAATAACTTAATCAAAATGGTTTAATCTTTTTTATTATGGTTTAATGATTTAATTTTACAATAACACGAAACAAAATGGTTCAATCTTTGAAATACTAACACAAATAATGGTGTAATGATGGGATTTTGGGAGAGACGATACTGCAATCCAAGAAAACATACGATTAAGGATTATAATCGCCAAAGGTTCATATAAAAATCAAGAGCTTTTCATTAGAAGGTTCTCGTAGAAATTTCTAAGCATTCAAATGCAACTTGCTTCATACATCTGGTTTTATACAATAATGAAATACCGTTGATGTGTGGTTATAAAACATTACAAACATTCTAAGAATAGTAAAAAAATTAAAGAAATGAAATACTAGAATTTATGGATTCTGTTTGATTCATGTGTCCTTTTCAAGGTGTCAACACCCATAAACTCATACCAGTGTACTAAAATATTGCCTCTAGTGGAAGCTCGTCCTGGAAAGGGAACATATATTGTGGGACATGAGTTCTTTCGATAAGGTAATCATGAGTTTTGGGGTAAGCTTTGTTACATGTGTAAAAACAAATCACACATATAGGAGTTTTATTTAACTTTTATCTATTTTATTTTGGGCCATTGGATTGCATATAATCCAATGGTTGTGGTGTTGTAGGAACTTTACTCTTTTAAAGAGATTAAAACTATTCTGTTTAGAGAGAGAAAGAGTGAGAAAAAGATAAAGAGATTGGGCTGTAATTGAGTTTTCTCTTGAGAGCTTGGTATTCTCTGTTTTAGTGAGAGAACATGTTATAGAGAACCCATTTTTTAGTATTCTTGGTGCCTTGTTTTTGGGTTTTGTTTAGAGTAAGAAAAGGCTGCTGGAAATTGATATTTTGAGCTCGATTTCACCTTGTAATCTTCCCAAATCAGTAAGTAAAGTATTGCGTCATTCTCCTGTGGATGTAGATCACGATTTGTGATCAAACTACGTTAAATATTTGTGCTCTGTGGATTGAATGTTGCTGGATTTTTCATTCTATGTTCTTGTTTTGATATTGGGTTGTTTTCATTGCTTGTTTATATTGATATGAATGCATAATAGTTGTGAATGTTATAAACCTTAAGAATTTTTCATCAATCGATCCCAACAACTGGTATCAGAGCCTACGATTTGTTATTCATTGTGTCTATGAAGAAATATGTGTTTTTGCTATTGTGGTTATTTGCTGTATTTTTTCTTGAAAATGAAAATGGCAATGGAATTTGAAAAATTAAATCAAAGTAATTGGCCAATATGGAAAATGATGATAGAAGATTATCTTGTTGGAAAAGAATTGGATCGACCACTTCGAGGTAAGGAGGTCATGCCTGTTGGAATGGAAGATTGGGAATGAGATGTTCTTGATAAAAAATGTTTGGCAGCTATTACACCATGTATTTCACCATCAATTTTATTTGACGTTTGTCAATGTAAAACATCTGCAGATCTTTAGTAATCTTTAGAGCAATCTTTTAAGCAACCTTGTGATGCAAATAAGATGCATGTGATGAAAAAATTATTTCTTTTGAAAATGAAAAAAGGTGCTACAATTAGGTCGCATGTGAGTGAATTTAATTCAATTTCTGTACAATTGAGGTCTTTGAAAGTGGATTTGGAAGAAGAAGTGTTATGTTTACTTTTGTTGAGTTCTTTGCCTGCTAGTTGAGATACCTTAGTTATCACTGTGAATAATACAATGGGTAACAAGTTTAATTTAAAAGATATTGTAGCTTCATTGTTAAATGAAGAGACTAGAAAGGCATCCACATAAAAACTTGCCGAATCAAATCAAGCATTGGCAGTAGGAGATAGAGGAAGAACACAATACAGAGACCAACCTTGTAGATTTAATAGGGGAAAATCTCATAGTAGAGACAGATCCAAGTCACAGGGCAAGAAGGTTACTTACTAGTATTACAAGAGACCTAGTTACACAAGGAAAAAATGTTATGCTTTGAAGAATAAGCAAAACGCCAAGGGCAAGGATAGTCATGCCGAAGTAATTACAATTTCAGATGATGAAGATATAGTCACCTTTAGTGTTGCATGCACAACATTGTCTATTGCAGATACTTGGGTTTTAGACTCTGGTGCTTCATTTCATGTTTTCCTAGAAAGGTCATATTTTTCATCCTACACAGATGTGGATGGTGGCTTGGTTTATCTTGGTGATGATCGAGGTTGCAAAATATTGGGCATTGGAAATATTGTTATCAAGCAATCAGATAGAAAGAAACACACATTGAGAAATGTGAGGTATGTTCCTGAGTTGGAGAAAAAACTCATTTCAGCTGGGCAGTTATATGACTTTGGTTTCATAGTGAATTTTGGAAATAGGTCATGGAAGATTTCAAGAGATTGTATGACAATGTTAAAATGACAAAAAGATGGGAGTCTCTACACTCTTCATGGTACAACTCAAAGGAAAGATGCTACAGAGAAGATCATTGCTGCAACTAGTAAGCATGAGGATATGCAGATTTGGCATAGCCATTTGGGTCATCTCAGTGAGCATGGTATGAAGGTATTATTGGTTAGGTGCCTTGATCTTGCCTCCTCAGATATACGTGATCGGGTGACACGTGTCTCGGGTTCAGAATGCCCGGGACCTGAAATCGCTCTATCGGGAACCTTGCTCAAGAACATGGGTAGGTATCCAACTAGTGAGAGAGGAATTTTGGATGTAAGATGGGGACCAACCTCACCTGGGTCCGTGACTTACTCAGGCTGACTCGCGTGGGTGTCCTCTTAGATCACAAAGGAAATCCCCCCAACTGTTTCAGCTGGTTCGGAATCGCCTTCCTTAACTTGCAATCTCCTTGTTTTTTGCACAACACTATTATGGTTAAGTTGCAAGACAAGTGGGCC